AAATAATCATACTTTTTACTCTCATCGAAAATAATCCTACCTTTCTACATGTGTGCGAGTTAACTAACAATCACTTAACGCAGTTTTGAAAAATGCATGTTTTGCTAATAAATGAAAATTGATTGTTTTTGGCAAATTTAATTTTTTTTAATTTTAGTTTAAAATTTCTATTTTTAAAATAAACAACATATTCTTGTTAGAGATTTGTCTTAATTTTTTTTAAAAATATAACAGATTACAAATTTTGTTTAATGTTCGGGGGAAAATGTAATACTGGATTATAAAAAAATAATCCAGATCATTGCTTGAAAAAAAATTGTAATACAAATAATTGTAGTGTGTTATAAAATTAATTAGTGTCATCTTGGAGGAAAGAAATATTCTTCTATTTTCACAACTTTTAAATTATTATTCTAAATTATCGAAAAGAATCATAAGTTGGATAGTTCCATTCTAGAAAAAATGATATTGGTAATAAAAAATTATCAATCAACATTTCCGAGTGTTATTTATGAAAAAATTGTAATACAACAAAAAATGTAGTGCGTCATAAAATTGAAAGTTCTATTTCAGAGAAAAACTATTTTATCGTTTTAATTGTTATAATGTTGTTTTGAAAAAAAAATTATATAGAGTTATCGAAAAATATTACAAGTTTTATAGTAAAATATAATAGTAGTATGATATCAAAAAACAATTCGAAGCGTCGCTCAAGAAAAATAATTACAACTTACAAAAACAATAATAAGTTATGAAGTAAATAAATTAGCTCTATTAGGTAGAATAGTTTATTATTCAATTATTATAGATTATCGATTATTAAAAAAACAAATAGTTATCATGAGAATGAGAAAGAAAAGAAATTACGGAGTATTCAACAAAACTTTCCAATAACAAAAGTCAAACTAGAGATATAAGATTTCCTAAATTTTAAGCATTAGGGTTCGTCTTATACGGAGCAGCATATATGTAATTATATGATTGGTTTGGCTCAGATATTTCTATCTAGCCGAATTTATATTCAATTCGTATTCTCGAGCTATTTATTGATTATGTTGGTGAGTGAATTTTTTTGTCTTTAAAAGCTTTATCTTTTGGTAAAATTTGGTTTGTGTTTGTTATTGTTGGATGTCTCTCCTCTTTTGCTTTCACGAAAATTGCAGAAACAAATTGAAGCCGGCAATATGGATTGTGATGTGGAAAAGAAAGTTGGAGGCGGCGGTGAAAAGAGAAGCGGATCCCCCGTTGTTGCCGACCCTGCTGCCTCCAAGAAGAAGCACAGGAGCGGTTTGTCTCTACTCTTACTTCTTTTCACAAGCCTTCAAATAGTCTGGTTTTTGCTTGATCCTAAAATCTCTAGATGCAAGTTTACTTCTTTTTGTTAGTACTTCCCGTTCATGTCGAATGGGGGTGCTGGTTACTTATGGAGTTCCACCCTTTTTTTGTGATGTTTTCATAGAGCTTGTTGAAGAGTCCATTGTAGAGACGGAGACTGATGAAGAGTCTCAGATTGACGAAGAGCCTATGACCCGTTTTCCACTGCTGCCTGATGATGAAGAGGAGATGAAGCTTCTTCTTCAAAGAATGAATGAGAAACGTAACTTGCAGCGAGGTCTAAAGTGGACTGTTTATAGATTCATGGTACACGAGGATGACAAGGAGAAGTTCATATCCTTAGTGGAATCCTTAAACAAGGATTATAACAAGGAGAATAACTCACTGATAGAATATTTTGAGGGTCCCCCGAAATGTGTGAGTAAAAGTTGTTTTTTCCCCGGTTGCATGTCAACGTGAAACATGAATCTTGGTAGTTAAATAGTTTTCAAGTGCCTTCCATCTTGGTTATACATCTTTTCACCAAAAAAACTTTCGTCTTTTTCTTTTTTAGACCAGTTTGTGAATTCAAATTCTCACATGCATTTTCTCTTTGTAAATGTGTTATGTAAATGTGGGTTGCATGAGCAAAAACATTTATTTGACATTGTTGCTTGTTTATTACAGTATTACATTAGGATAAACTTTATATTGGTTCTCACTTATGCAACTTTTGGCTGGAAGTGGTGTTGATTAACCACAGTGTTGAAACCTACTCTTGAATTCTGATGACTTATTTAGTTGTGCATTCACATTGCTCACCTGACTTATGATTTGTTCTCCACATTTTATCAGTTCACTATTGAGTCTTTCCTTGCGTAGCAGGTTATGGATATAGAATGAATTTTTCTCATTCTCAGTAAATGGGTGAGAATGAGGTCAGCATTAACTCGTGGGATTGTTTTCATTGAGATGGGGTGACACCTAGGTCACTTTGTAGTCCAGTATCATAGCGGACTATATACTTGCATGACTGATGATAGCACTTATTTTGCCTTTTACTTATAACTTGACATGCCATTGGTGAATGTTTAGTTTCACCTGATTTGGATGAAATATATGTTGTGACCTGTGAAGTTAATAATTAATTTTGCTTTGTGTGTGGAGTGAACCAGTCTTTTGGTCATCTGAGCTGCTGCATTTTCTTTGATATTTAGTGAGTTTGCAGTTTAGCTATTTCCAGTTCCCTTGCATGAGTTTTGGTTGAATGCTTGGTAGTTTTCCAGTTCTTCATAGTCTGAAGATATTTGTTGCATGTTTATCTGCGTGTGATTCTCTGTCAATCTTATCTTCGAGTTGCTATTCACAGTCCCTGAATTTTGTGTTAGATTATATTAGTTGCCTCGTTCTTGCCCAATGTGCCATTGTCTCTTCAATATATAATATTGTTTTTGTTGACTTTAGCTTCTTCTTTTGATAGGTTATGGTGGCTGTGGAGGCAAACACTCTAGACACAAAGACTGTTGTTGGCTTTAGTGAAATTGTTGACCAATTTTATGGTGTTTCTCAAAATTCAAACCAAGACAAGGTCACAGCGCGACTGCTTTTTTTTGAGTCTGAAGTAATATATCTTCTAAACCGTAGAAAGACCCAAAGGCTTGCTGTTTCTCAACATTGTAATATCAATATTTATACTTCAGGTTTTATGTTCTGCCTCTCTTGCATTTAGTGTGATTTTTTTCATTGTTTTCTCAAGACTTGAACCATTTTCCAGAATGTGGTTTTTTAAATGCCCGTTGAAACTTTTATTATATGCGTGTTCCTATTTTATTCATCGTGTTTTGTCCCATCATCCTCACTGTCTATTCTCTTTCATAATTTTGTAGGTTTTCCATCATGTGATATTCGAGAATGATATGATTGTTGGTGTAGAAGGCAAGCATCATGACGTATGTACAACACTCGTGGAGATGCTTTCTGTGGTCTATGATGAGTTCCGATATGACAAGAGCCGCATACATTCTATGGAAATGATGGTAAGATCCTTTTGCCTTTTGAAAAAATCTGATTTGTTTGCACAATCGACTCAAATCAACTCATTGTTTTACTCAGATGCGCGATCTCCCAACCAGTGGATTACTTCATGAAGTGCAAGTCTATGGAAAAAGCGCACCAAAGATGATGGCTTCATATGAAGACGGAAAGGAGATGATGCCTATAGATTATCATTTCATAGGCAAGGTTAATGCTTCTTCAATGGTTTCTAGTTCTTAGCACTGATTCTCTCTCTCTCTCTCTCTCTCTCTCTCTCCTGTTTATACATATATATGTATTGAGGTTGCAAGAGCTTTAATTATGTAAATGTTATATCAAAAATTTTCAGCCATACATTAGAGTGCATTTTCCACTGGGCTATGCCAATCTGTTGACTCGAGAAGAAGGTAAATTAATAAACAGTATTCGTGGCCCACTGAATGCTGAATTTGAAGTCAGTCTGACATATTATGGATGCGACGAGTCCATGAAGTTCATCATTTTCAGGAAGTCCATGTGTGTAGCTAGAGATGCTTTGGAGACGTTTGTGGTAAAGTTTCTTACTCGTTTCTCTCCTAAGTTAATTTGTTTCTTAATACCTACTCCCTCCGTCCCTAAATAAAGTTCCTCTTTCGTTTTTTCTTTGTCCCTAAATAAACTTCTCTTTTCCCTTAAAAAACCCCTTTTACCCCTTACTTTTTCATACCCTACCTATCACATCATACCTTTTTACTAATAATCTACCTATCACATCTTACTTTAACACATCACATCAAGGGTATTTTTGGAAAGTCAACACCAAAATATCCATCCCTTAAATCCTCAAAAAGTCAAAAATGGAACTTTATTTAGGGACGGAGGGAGTATTACTCTCTCTGTCCCAATTCTTTGTCCAGTTTTGGGGCAGTGACCTAGTTCATTGTTTGTTCATATATCTCTGTGCAATTTAATGTGTACTTGTTAAACTACTTGTATTTGGATTGATATTAAAAGTACTCTTGTTTTAAATTGCACATGAATATATGAACGAAGTACTAAGTTGATCACTGGTAGCTTCAAGAAATGTTGTAATTTGTGAGGTCCTCAAATTG